GCCGCGCCAGGCCGCCTACGGCGTGTCCCGAAAGTTTTCATCGTAAATCAACCCGTACGCGCCAGGCTTTGCAGCGATCGCGGGCAGCCCGCTGCGATTTCGATTCAATCCCAAGCAATCGCGTTCGCAGGTAGAAATTATACGTACAGCCGGATAAAGTTGGAAAGGTAAAATGCACGATTAGAATATATAATCGAATTTATACAGGAGAGTCATCAAATAAATCACGACGCACCTCGTAAAACGCAACGCGCGCGGTAAAATTATGCGCATAAAAGAATGTAGCAGCTAATAAAAAAAAAAAAAAAAAAGAAAAAAAAAAAGAACCACGTGGAATCCCACGGGTAATGCGATGCATTCAACGAGAGAGGATGGCAACCGTTGGAATCCACTCGTTAACTTCTTCCTTGGGATACCGATACAAGGACGTCGCGTCCGACCGCCACTCGAGAACTGGCAAAACGGAAGCGAGATTACGAGGAGTAGATTCTCTTCTCTCTCTCTTGTTACGTGCCAGGAAAGTCTTCGATGAGCGACAGACCGCTGGATAAGTGTAAGTATGCGTAAAGATAGAGAGACAGAGAAAGAGATAGAGAAAAAGAAAAAGAGAGATATATGCTCTTTGTCCCCATCTTTTCTTCCTCCCGGGCTTCTTCTCGCCCATCCGAACGACCTTACACGTTCACGAAATCTCGTGATTCCCGCGTGTGAGTTCTTCGGGCAGCGCCAGCGCGCGCGTTCGCTCACGAGCATCGAAAAGGGATGTCGAGAAAAGAGAGGAGCGAGAGACAGAGACGAGAGATAGAGCGTTCGACGAGAGAAGCAAAACGAGGAAGGCGTAACTAGGAAAGCCCGGATACGGCTACGGGCTGGATGCTATTATTCCGCGCGGTGGAGACGCGATGAAAAATACCCCGGTCCCTCGCTCCGGCATGACTCGCGATGTACAGAGCGGAACGTTGCTTATCGATGCGCCGGGTCGATACGAGGCGGCGGAGAGCGCGAGCGGTAACAACGGCGTACGCGCGCGGACGGCGAATCGGATTTTAAATTAAAAACTTGCTCGCTTCGAGTCAGCTCCGCTGCAGGTACTCGCCAGCTAGTCGCGCACAAACCGAGAGAGGCACGGAAGAAAGACTGACGTTTTTCAATGAAGTGAGACCGGAAAATTATCACGAAATATTTTATGCTGCATACGATAAAGAAGAATAGTCTCTGAAAAAAGAATACCATCCTAGCTGAATAATTTTGCGAAATCTATTTTTAATTACTTGTTTGTTAATTCCATTAACATGCGCGAGCTCTCTCGTCGAAATCCGGTATATAATTTATTATCTCCACTTCAAGGAGATAAATGTGATTAAAATTAAAAAAAAAAAAATAAATAAATAAATAAATAAATTGCGATGACACAAAATCAGCAATCGTTGTCATCCGCATTTCGCAAATATTAAACGCAAATATAAAATCGTTTGATTAAACGACTCAATTGTTCGAAAAAGTGAGACATTCGATTTTTGGCGCAACACCCGCGGTGTCATTTTATCCGCTATAAGTCTTTAATTACCCTTTGTCTCTTCCTCCTCCCCCTCCTTCCCTTTCACGCGTAAAGCAATTCAAAAAGTATCGCTGCCAAAATAATAACTGTTTTATTCGAAACTCCGCGAATTCGGCCGGCACGCGTTACCTTGTTGGAGGATCGCCCAACTGATCCGCTCACCCATACACGTTCGGCGGCGAGAAACGCGGCGCGATACGCACGGTCTCTCCCATACAATCTCGCGCGTTCACACGCACGCAATCGGCGAACGTGTGTGTGTGTGTGGGTAACGCGCGCTTCGTGGCGCGCGTGCCGACGACGGTAAGGCCGCCTCGCAGTCCCTCTCGCCGGCGTACCCCCGTTCCCCGCTGAAACGGCCGCCGCCCCGAGGGCTCATCGCCTCGACGAGCCGAGCGGCGGCACGGTTTGAGCTCCCACTGCCACGCCGCTCATTCTCTCCCTCTTATTCCCGCCGCCTTCGCCGACTGCATCGCCGACCGCGAACCGTCGCCTCGACACGCTCTTTCGTCCCTCCTCTCTTTGCCTCCTTACGGCTGTTCTGTCGCGCAAGACGTGCCGCCGCCGTTTTTTCCCGTGCGTTTACGAGACGAGAAGATTAAAGACTGACGCGCACACGAACCGCGACGATATCCTTATCGCGTGCCGCACCGCGCGATGCGTAGAAACGCGCGACTTGTGTCATTGTCTCTCTCTCTCTCTCTCTCTTTCTCTCTATCTCTCGCGTATATACGTATCGGCTTTTTTTCCGTCAACCTGCTAAATGTCAGCACATTCCGCGAATACTCTCGTGACAAATGAGGAAATATCGATTTCGCTTCGAAATTGACGATTCGATTGAAGATATGTGAAAACGACTGACATTTCTTTCCTTGTTTTTGTAAACATTGTCAAACCCGATCGACCGTAAACGCGTATATCCCGGTGAATTTTGCCCGGACAACGAGAAAAAAAAAATGCAAGTGTCTTTCACGCGCTTCACTTCCGCACACGCGTAAACGCATTTAGCCAGCGCTCACCGTGCTCACACGGCGGAGTTTTAATTCTCATTTACCCCGAAACCGTCATAGGGAGTAGTAGGAGGAGGAGGAGGAGGAGGAGGACAGCCGAACAGAGGCATCGATAAAAAAAAAAGAAGAAGAAGAAGCGACATCGCAGCGGATAGAAAGAGAGAAAAGAAAAAAGATCCACTGATATCCAAATCGGTTCCTGCTTCGACGCCGCTTCACGGTGGCTAGGCAATAAAACGGCCCTGAGAGAGACGAAGACACGTCTCACGTCGCGCGACGAGGACGAACGCGCGCGCGCGAGAGAGAGAGAGAAAGAGAGGGAAAGAGCGAGCGTCAACGCGCGAGCAAAAGAAGAGGACGGAATGAGAACGGGAAGAGGAGACGACCGCACGTAGCCGCAGGCAAGGGCGCGCCGGCACGGCGCGGCAAGCCATCCGTGCTCCCCCGGTGTCCCGCCGCCCCACGCACGACCAACCACGACGCGAGTCGACCCCCGTCGTCCCACCGCCTGGCCTCGGCGCGCCAAGCTCAACGCGTACAGCCGCCAGCCACCGCTCGTCGCCTCACAGTCCGTCATCGTCGCTCGTCGCGCGAGCACAACGCGGACGCTCCCGCAGCCAGGTTGCACGCGCTGCATGTTTTCGTTTGTTGTCGCGCCAAGTGGCGGATCGAGGCTGATCTCTCTCTGCGTGCTTTTTGCCGCGCACGTTAAGACTCATCCGTTATACGCCCGGATTCAACGTACGTGAAATACAATTCATGCTCGACGCACATGTCGAAATTCTGTGTGCATTGTTGATATAGAAAAAAAAAAAAACAGTTTTTTTTTTTTTACGTATGTAGAAACAGTCGAATAACAACAAACTTGTTCGACCTTTGACTGTTGCGAATCGCTGTTTTAAACGGCGCGCTGTCAGAGATTGTGAACGCGCGCGAGATCGCGCGACACGTCAGTCGGGGGGTACTTCTTCTGTGAGGTGGAGTGCGTTCCGATCTCTCTCTCTCGTGCACAGACTTCCGCAACCTCGTGGGACAATTCTTTTCGTAGCGAGTGTGAAATTATCTCCAGGATTTATCTCAGCAAACACGGAAGCCATCGACGCGGCCGCGGTCCGTGCCGCGTGTGACAAGTGGTTGACGACGCATGGTTAAACCACGTGGCGGCGGTGTGTGCGCCGCTGTGCAAAACCCGCCTGGAGGAACGTGAACTTTCGTTGAGACTTTCTCTCCGTTTGAACTCGGCGAGCGCGGGACAATTTACGCGCATATTAACGACGTGCCGAGCGAGTGACAGCTGATTGATCTCGGTGTCGCGTTCTGCGAGTGAATGCACTTTGCAGCTGCGCGACGCGATAAGACGCGATCTCTGACGTTTCGGTACGTTTCCTCGATTGGGATCCCAAGCGGTGATCGAGTTTGTCTCGAGACTTTTCGCCGACTCTATCAATCTCTCGAGAGCATCACTCGGGGGCATGGTGCGATTAGATCGCCGTACATCATCGCCAGTGCCAATATAAACATAATCCGCACGAAAGAAGAAAGGTGGTGGGTCGGTGGTAATCTGGTCGCAGGTCGCCGCGAGATGCTGAGAGCCTCAGCCGCTCAGTCGTCCAGCCAATCACGTAGGGTGCTGCGATTCGAGCCGACGAGGGCCGTCGCGGCCTGCTAAGATGACCGCGCGTCTACACTCGCTTAGGCACCAGGAGAAGAAATCAGCCGGCAGCAGCAGCCACAGACAGCATCACCAGCATCAGCAGGCCGTGCATCAGGGTCCGAGCCCGGCACCGAGCCCAAGTCCCAGTCTCAGCCCGAGCCCGAAACACTCGGACGGACGAAGAGTGAGTAACAGATACAAATTTTCGCGCTATATATCGTAGAAAGTCTCGATTTCCTCCTCACTCCGTCGCTTTCCTTTCTCGATCTCGACCGAGTCGAATAAATCGCGACTTCGCAATCGCTCCGTCCGCAAATTCGAAGGTTTGACCTTCGCGCGTTTCCGGATCGTAAAAAAGTGATAACCGTGCGAAGCATAAAAAAATATCGTGCAGCACGTGGACGCGCCATTAAAACCGCAATGAAAAGCGGTACGACAGGTAGCAGTACAGGCAAATCAGATGAGAGACTTAAGAACATATTACGTAGTACGAAAATTGCGCGCGCCATTAAAAATATTTTTAAATTTATAGTTGCATAAAGAATTTATAAATTATAAGGAAGTTTAATTCCAGTCCGTCACATTTCCTTGATACTATTTGCGAATATTGTTTTTTTTTTCTTTTTTAAGATAATGCGTACCGAACGACCGAATTTTTTACAGTGTCTATCCAAATTCTCGTTAACAAATCTTGATATTGTTAATGGTAAAATCAATAATTAAAAGATCCTCTGATATATACGTGACAATTCGTCGCACTGCGATCATTCTACGTGACAAATGAGGTCAGATAATCTTTGACCTCATTTCTACACTCACTTTTTTTACACACACACGCACACATGTTTTTATATATCAAGACATCTAAAAAAAACCCCCAATATAATTTTTTGATGCAATTGAAGTTTAATTCTTGAGACACGTGACAAAATGCATTTGCTTAGTCGTCGCCGTTTGCGCGGCAAAGTTCAGCGGGTCGCAAAGGCACGTTGCGGAACGGATGGTGCGTGTCGGATCTGTGTAACGTCAATTTGCGGTAATTGGGCGTATTTACGAACGGTCATCATACGGATTCTCCTCGCACCTCCGCTCTCGGTGAGAAATGTAATTGGATCTGTTTAATTAACTTAGCGGGCAGAAAAAAAAATGTAACGTGCGGCGAAGCGTGATAAAGCAGCTTCGGCCTCCGTCAAATTTCGAGCATCACGAACAGTAGCGAGAGACGCGCGCGCGCGCGCGCGTGATTCTGCGGTGCACGCGTGCGTAAGTATACGGCTGACTGCCCTTTTAAGGCGATCCGCGTGAGAGTACGTTCGCACTCGGTAACACCGTGCCGCACAAGTGGCAGTCTCCTATTAGGGAAGTTTCCACGGTGACGAAAGGGGCGTAACTACGACGCACACGACTCGTCTTTGTTGAGAGAAGTGACTTACGTCGTTGCGAAGAGAAATACATCGCTACACAAATTGTCTTTTCTCTAAAGGTGCGCATAAATAGAGCGCAAAATTACAAGAGCAAATTTTTGTCATGATATAAAAAAATTAAGACAAAAAAAAAATGTTTTTCTCTTTGCTCACTTCATTTGCCGCGCGGAGAAGTTCGTAATCTTCATCCAGTCCGTCATCGGGTTACGGCCGCTGTGGGACCGGAGCGGTGGATGAAAGAGAATTCCAAGGGGGCGCGTCGAGCTAATGAGGGCGGTGAAGCCTCGCGAGATTTCGAAGCGGCGACGGATGGAGAAGAGGAAGAGAAGAGAGCGAGGAAGGACAGAAGGGAGAGAGAGGGAAACACGGCGGCCGTCGGTCGTTTCTGCCGTCGTCGGACGACGGCTTAATTGACGGCACTTAACGGATCGTCGTTATGCCTCGCTTAATTACCTGTCGCTCGTTGCCACTAGCCCGCGCATTTTAATCGATTTATCACGCGCGAAGCGAAAGTACGCGCCGCTCTCGACAACGCGCGTGTCCGAGAGAAGACAACAATGAACCCGAGCGAGCTTAAAACGTCATCCGCGGTATGACGCGCGGAAGCAATTTGGAGAAAATAATATATACATTCCGCATTTTCTTGCAAATTATATAAGTTTCAGATTATATACATTTAATTTTTTACAATAATTCTATCTTTTTTTCTACGATTGATTCACAAATTTTCTGTCTATTAAAATATAAATCTTTACTTTTTTTTTTATGTAACACAAGAACGATTTATCGATTTGACAGAAAGATTACATTTTTGAACTCTTATCGATTTAATTTTAACTCTTGTCTAGATTTAAACCGAAATATTGCGCGTAGGAAAAAAAAATGGTCCTGACGATAACAAAAGGAGTTACGATTGAGCGGTGACCATTGTTAAAAGCGATCCGTTCTAAAGAATTCCGGCGTCTTGCGACGTTCGCACGTCGGTGATGATTCACAATGCCGTACGTGACGCGAACTCGCAAGCGCGACGAACGATGGAACGCGATATATCGCGCGTGAGACGCGCTAATCAGCGGCGTCGTCAAAGTCACACACCGAGGAGTCGTCCTTCTTTATCTTTTCCCGCGTGCACGCCAATTTTTCACAGTCGTGTGTAAGTCACGTCGGGTGAAAGAGCGGGGAGTTATCTCGAGCGTGACGATTTTCCGATACCTATCGGAAAAGTGGCGCGGGAATCGAAGTCTCTTCTCTCGCGAAGAGAGAAGACTTTGCCTCGTGAGAGAAGTTAGTAGTTGGGCGAGAGCTAGCGCCAACTCTAACGAGGCGTTCGTTAATCTAAAAATAATGGGACAAAAAAAGTTCAAAAAAAAAAAAAAAAAAAAAAAAAAAACTTGCACCTAATGATTTATATCATGAAAAATGATCGCGAGTTTACTTCTGATCGACAATTTTCTCACCGAGCTGAGAAAAAGGCGCCATTTGTGACAACGTCGCGTCGGGTCAGTTGAATATCTGCAACGATAGACAAGATATCTTTCAACAAATGTTGACTTCCGGTCGTCAAATGGGGGGGGGGAATCGAGATGGGAGACAAGAAAAGGGAGAACAAAAGCTTGGGAGTAACCCAATTTTATCTTCCGAATCGCGCCGAGGCGTAATTTAAACGTCCCTGTTACGAAATTCTTCTCTTGTTCCTTCACACGTTGTATGTGCGCACGCACACAACAATACGTAAACACAAGCGCGCGCGAACACGAGGCCTGTGTGCGCGGGGAGTCCCATCGCCGACAGACGCGCGTCTCCCCCTCCTCTTTCTCTTTCCCCGTCTCTCGCATACCGTCGCCCCCCTTTGCGTGCATCTCTCGTAATAATAGAAGGACGCGGCGGAGCAAGAGTGCCGCGCCAGTCGGCGATGACACGCGCGTGCACAAACACACACACACACACACAGAGAGAGAGAGAATAGAGAGAAAGAGAAAGAGATACGAGCACGCGTGACCGCGGCGGCTCGCTCGTTTGTTTACCCGGCGCTCCCGTGTGAACGCCGCGCGCCGGCTTCACCTCGTTTCCCTCCGCCAACCCTCTTCTCCCCCTTCGCGGCTTATCTTCGTCGCTCTCGGGTATCTCTCTGTGGTCTCCCGCTCGGTACGTTCCCCGACGCTCGTCATCTCTCGCTCCGACAATGTATGTAGCTGCTGCTCGGCTGTATCTTCCTCTTCCTCGTTAGATTCGACTCCGTCTATCTTCGTCGTTCTATATACGCGTTCTCGCGCCGCGCTTCCACTCGCTATCGCTCGTCTCTCTGCGACTATCCCGCATATCTCTCTTTTTCTTGCTCTCTCCAACGGAGATTGCTACTACGCGCGATGCGCTCTTTCTGTTGCCGCGAGCGATCGCGCGACTCGCCGTCGGCACATCGCCAAGCGAGCCGCAAAAAGTGACGGATTCATCTCGGAACGTCGAGATGCTCGTGAGAACTACGTCGAGCGGTCGATATATTTCCGTTTAACAGTTACCGCAGAGAGGGAATTCCCGATGTAGACGTGACGGCACAAAACACCATGTTGGTTACGGTAATTTTTTGAAATTTCCGAAGGAGAAATAAAAGTGAAGGGTGTGTGCGCGGTGGCCCTGAAAGAACGGGAATCATAAGAACAAAAAAAAAAAAAAGACAAAGAGAGAGACGAGAACTCCGCCCCGTGGGTCTCTCGTCGTCACGGACGCCGCCGTCCGAACCAATTTCAAATACTACCTGACGGTGCTCGATTTGAAACGGTAATACTTTTAGTGGTGGTCGAGAGAGATGACTCAGACGCGGTAGACGCGACCACTTTACACCCAACCTAACGTGGACCTGTAGTTCAGAAAGAGAGGAAAAGAAACAAATGCGACGGACCTTATAGATCCGGGGTTATAAAACTACTCGTCGATAATCCAAATTAGGAACTCCTAGGCTCATCCGCATTCCTCTAATTTCCTTCTCGCCGGCTCTTTGTCACTCCTTCCTTTCGTTGTCTCGCTCGCTCGTCACGCGCGTCGTCGCCGGCGGCTCCTCGTAAATCACCTCTTCCGCGAAGCGTGCGCGGAAAAATAGCGCGCCGACTAAAGTAGGAGACCGTGTTGCGTGTCTTAAGGCAACCTCGCCTGCTTGCGCGTTAAGTCGCGCGCGCGCACGGCTAGAGTCTATTTCTTGTTTTTGCGCCCCAACTGTAGATGCGAGATATACCTACCTACTCGTATTGTGGCGCAATCTTAGTATTTCAATTAAAAGCATATTATATGTGTGGACATATATATATGTACATATATATATATATATATATATTCGAACCATCGTTTCCTCGGGATTGTTTCAGGCTAACAAACCACTAATGGAAAAGCGACGGCGAGCGAGGATCAACCAGTCTTTGGCGGCGCTGAAGGCGCTCATCCTTGACAGCGCCCGCCTGGAGAACACCAAACACAGCAAACTCGAGAAAGCTGATATCTTGGAGCTTACGGTCAGGCACCTGCAGCGACAGAGATCGCTCGCTCAGCCCGGCCTGTCCAGGTACAAAGCCGGATACCAGGACTGCTCGAGAGAGGTAAGACTCTCTCATCCTTCTCTTTTCATACCCTAATCTCCAAGCAACGGTGTTGTTGTAATAATAATAATAATCCGAAATATAGAACCGAATACAAACAAAACAACTTGACGTTTGAACGATCTCAATGCGTAAAAAGATGTCAGCTTCGTCATATTCCGCGCGTTTCGTCATGGAGTAGTATGCGGAAAAGATGGGCGGTGTGAAAAGAAAGAAAGTATGAGTGTGTGTGTGTGTATGTGTGTATGTATGCGTGAAAAGAGAGGGGGAGATGGTGAAAAAAGTTGAATTCCAGTGCGTCCGGGGAGCGTGTAATCGGAGAACTCGGCGGAACTGGTTCGTGTTACACGACGGTAAGGGATGGGGAAGGGAGGGATCTGATGGAAGAACTCACCGAAACCACCCTACCTCTCCTTCGTCTTTCTCTTTCCTTTCCCTTCCTCTTTCCTCTCCTCGGACCGACGAAAGGTATCGGGTTGTCGTCGGAAAGTCTCGCGTGACTCCGCGAAGCTCGCCGCGCTCGTTCGTTAAGGGACGTCCAGCCACGAAACGAGAGGAAGCTCGTTGAAAGCGGACACCCCGTAAACGTCGTCACGCTGAATCTGCCGGAGTCCGCGGTCGGAACTGGTCGGAGAGAGTGTCGCCTAATCCGAAGAAGAAAATCGAGAAAAAAAGAAATTTTCCCAGTCTTCGTTTTCGCGCGAGAAATATCCTCACGGAATTACAGAAGAAGTGAAATTAAATTTTTTCGCGTATCTGAAGACTGCTTGGTGTTACTTTAAATCAATAAGCGATACAAGATATATTCGATATCGCTAAAATACATTCGGTTCACGTTTTTAATTGTTCGTATCTCGTCGCGACAATTTAACCCGCAACTATTTGTTATTTAATCGCTTTTAGAAAAACAAACATCGCTGCGCTGTTTTAAGATCTTTTTTCGAGCACTTTACTCGCTCAGCGTCGGTGACGATAGGGTGACGCGATACGCCGCGGCGCCAGGCATTTCCGTCGTATATCTTCATCGGCATGGCACGGCGTGGTGCGCGCGTCGTGGAACTCGAGGCGCCGAGTCGATTGTCGGCTCGCTTGCCTCGACAAAGCGCAACTCGTCACGACACAAAGCCCGTTCGCGCGCTCACTGTACCTGTCGTACGACCGCCTTATCAGAAACCGCTCACCGATAAAGTCGCCGACTTTCCGGCACAAGCATTGCTCGAAAGATGCTGCCGTGAAATGCGCGTGTATCTGTGTGTGTATTATGTTAGAAATATGGTCTGCATTTTGCATACGTAAATAGAGAGAAAAACTAGAATGACAATATTATTATTTGGAACAATATTATTATTAAAAATTTATAAAATTATTTAAACAAAAAGATATTCGAGTTTTTTTTATCATATTGAAATATGCACACAGCTTTTATCATTGTTTGCAATAGAAATAAAAATATTTTACATTTTTTTTGAATCGGAAAAGTTGTTTTTTTTTTAAACACGGAGGAAAGTGGAAAAATTCCGCAGTGCTTCGTGTTTAGAAAGGAGAGGGAAGAGGGGAGAGAGCGGTGATAGTAGAGAGCGTGCCAGAAATTTCGGGCGACGAGACGAGCGTCGGGTGGAATCACGGCACAACGTGTGATATACGAGGCGCGCAAGCGAGGACGGGCGAGGTAGACAGGAAGGAAGGAAGGAAGGAAAGAGCGAGCGCAGGTCCCCGCGGGGCAAACTTTACGGCCTTATAAAACCGGTGGTCGACCGACGCGACACGTCCCGCCGTACACCGCAGTTCCGTTCTCATCCTCCCACCGGGATCTCGTTCTCCTTCGCCGAAAGCACATTCCTGCTCCCAAGTCTGGCGCCTCCACGAGCGTGAAACGCGTGTTCGCGCTACAACGCTGTGCTCGAGAACTACCGTCGCCCCGACTCGGTATTCTCGATGTCGCGAAGTATAAAAAGGACGACGTTGGCAGAGTCGTTTCGAAATCTGCGTTTCGTGCAGAAATATCGTGCAAAGGAGAAAAAGCATTTTTTTCTTAAGATAAATATATTTTCACAATATATTTTATTTTATATTTTTGAAAAAAAAATTATTGAGAGATTATTACTAATTTACTTTTGTTTTTCTGAAACAACGTAATATATTATTTTGCGATAAATATTTTCGAAGATCGGAACTTTAAATACGCGTGACAGAGTTGAAAATGCGCATTTCGTCTGTTCCTAATTGCCGACGCGCGATTAACCCACATTTGCAGATTCATCCAATGTGCGCGCGATCTTTCAATACCGCCTGAGTCTCGGTTTCCGCGCGCTCTCGTAACGTTTCCAGCATGTGGCAGCGACGGTGGATTCGGTTGCTTTATTTTGAAGCAGCGACCCATAAAAGCTCTCTCTCTCTCTCTCTATTCCTCTGGGTTCGCCGTGAAACTATTGTCCGCCCAGTAGCCGTGGCAGCGATAGTTCCGCCTGAGAGCAATGCGCGTTCGATACGCCGCCGTTGCTACCGCCGGTCGTGTGAAATATAGCGCGCGATACGCTACGCGATTAGAGATCAATCGCGCCGCTTCCGCCCGAATCGCCGCCGCCGTTTCCACTCGCAATTCGATTCTCTTCCGGTCGTGGCTTGTCGTGGCGGTCGCGCACTGTAACGTTTCGCATGCTGTATTTTTTGACTTTTTTGGGGGGGTTTGTATTAATTATGTAATAATTCTGAAAATCCTACGGTACGTAGTTGTATAATTTATTTGTTATTAACTACATGCCGCATATATATAATTTCATAGAAAATTACTTTTTTCGAAATTTCGAATTACGTTTTCTTGGGGGGCAGAAGAAACGCGAAGAAACAAAAGTAAAGCTAAGAGAAAAAATTACTTCGAGTTCGTCAAAGATATTTTTTTGTACGTGTTATATTGTTTCGCGCTGAAATCTTTTGTGGCAAATATTGTTGTTTTAACTCACATAATTTAATCTCTCTCAATTATTTCCAACGTATCGAACCGCCAAAATATGTTATTATTATAAAATCACGAATACCTTCCGCGCGTTAATCAGCGAAGTACTCTAAGCGCGCGCGCGCGCGTTAATTAGTGATTCGCGGCGATAATAACGAGGCCGCAAAAAAAAATCTCGCATTTGCGTCGTCCGCACCGTCGCTCGGCCAACGAGCTAAAGAGCATTTTATCGCGCCGGTTGTTATCGCCGGCACGTACGAAATAAATTACGGGTCGGGGCCTGGCGGGTCGCGGCCGGGGGAATATCGGGTAACAAATAATCACGAGGCGCCGTTACTCGACCGAACCGCGGATTAAAGAGCGAACGCGAAATATTCAATTACGGCTCGGCGGTCGATAATGACTGACGCGCAATACCACACCCGCGGTCGAGAGCGGAATTTCTGACGCACGATATATTTTTCCGGCATCGGAATTAACGGATTAGCGTTTTCGAAATTTCGTATTTTGCCGACACGAAATAACTATTCTAATCGTTATGTTATCTAATAAATGTATATGTATAATTTTTTTCATGAAATATGAATTTCTGCATCGGTTGGTTTTTGTTGTCGTGTTACAGGTAAGTCGATATCTTGATGCGCCGGATATTATCACGGGCAACACCACGCCAATGGATCCCGCGGTGAAGCAGCGGTTGCTGCGTCATTTGGACAGCTGCGTGTCGGAGCTGGATCTGGACTTAGGCTCGCGACCCGACAGCGGTCTGGGCAGCAGCCCGGGCAGCGTAACGGACCGCGTGGCGGGGACGACGAGTCCGGGCCCATTAGATCACCACGTGCCGGTCGGACCGCATTGCAGTGCCGCGCTCACGCCGGCCGGCTTGATCAAGTCCGAAATCCCGGAGATGGTAGAAGCGGCCCGACCCGACAGTAGCACCACTGCCGGCGACGAGAACAACAATAGCAGCCGGCCAACTTCCGCCTTCAGCCAGGTGAACCCTGCGGGATTGGATCCGCATCATCCGCATCATCCAGCGGGTTTACCGGTCGATCAAGCCTCTACGTCGCAGCAGAATCCCAACATGCTCTCGGTGGTGCAAGTGATACCTTCTCGATTACCGGACGGTCAGGTAGTCTTCCTGTTGCCAAGTCACTACGTGCAATTGGCGGCGGCAGCCGCGGCAAACGGCATCAGCATCGGGCCCAATCCACCCACCGCGATATGGGCGGCGACCAACATGTCGTTGCTCAAGGCCACCGACAAGCTGGCGAAGCGACCGCACGAGGACATCGGCCAAGAGTGGCAAGATCCTACTGGCGGTCTCAAACCCAGCAAGAGCCCGAGGATGGAGCAGCCGGAACAGCCACTCGACTTCACCACTACGTCAAAGAAGATGAAGACCGCAAACACGAGAAACTCGACGCATTCTGGCGCTGTTGATCACCATCACTTGCGGCAACAGCAGCAGACCTCGTCCCGTTTGCCAGCCGAAGTCGGTGGGCCCATCGTCCAGGAGGACAGACCCTCTAGTCACGCGGGCAGCGAGATTGCCGTTGGCCTGCCGTCTCCGTCGCCCGTCGGCCAGCAACCCGTCAAGGATGAAGAGGGCATGTGGAGACCGTGGTAAAGAGTCGTCCATTCGCGCGAGGGTTCTTTGTCTTTGTAAATAAAAGTATATCTTATTTGACGCGCGCGAAACCGGAAAGTCGCGCCGATACGCGGCTACGATTGTCGTCCACTGTGAAAAATTTCTTTAACCGAGTGAAGTTATCTATGTATTTTGATTTTGATATTTTTCTGGACGGATAATTGGAGTTCCAGAGTCACACAAAAAGTTGAAATTAAAAGTCAATTTTGATGTTTTTTTTTCTAAATAAGTGGCGCAGTTTGAGGAAAAAAGTTGTTTATTTTTAAACAACTTTTATCAGATATCCAGTGTTGCGGCACTTTTACATTATGATTTTCGAAAGAAATGCGGTCAAAACAATTATCGCGAGATTTGTTTGTTTTATATACAAGAAGGTGGCAATGACAAATTTACGGTAACATATAATGCTCGCTGAAACTGCGCTGAACCGGCGAATTTTCATAGAAAAAGGATATTTATACGAACGCCGTTAATGTATATTATCGGGAGACACGCTAATTTTCCAAGCGAGTCAGAAAATTATCTATCTCGCGTATCTGCGAAGTTTCATCGAGAGCACACGCCAGTGATAATTTTGTGTCTCCGGTCGTGATTTTCGTTCCCGGGGCGATAAACCGAGAAAATCGCGGTTGACTTTTTCCCGTTTGCGCATACCGCTTTGCTCCGCGTGGAAACCAGTACACGGAAAAGGCGTATGCACATTCTCGCCTAATAACGCCCGTGCGCATGACGTCAGCGTGCTTCGCGCCGTTTCTTGCGACGACGGTGCTAATGAAGCCTTTAATTTGCATCGCGCTCAAAAGTGCCGCAGCCACTAAATTCGCTTCAGCGCCCGTTGCTATTTTCGCGTAAACGCCGTTCGAATAATTTAAGCGCGTTTGTTTTGTCGCGACAGAATTTTCGCATCGATAACGTCACTGTCGGCGGCGGATATGTCGCGCAGTGACGAGAATAAAATAACAAAGAAGGAAAAAAGCATAGCCGCGGTACGCAATGGAGAAACATTTGGCAAATTGGCACGATTTAAATTGGCTCGATTTAAATTTGCTTTCACGTCGGAGTGACGGAACGAACGCAAAAGAATCGAGAACACATATAAGTGGCGACGCGAACGTTTCGACGAGCGAACATTTCGCGCGAGTTCGAATGCCAAAGTAGAGCGAGTGCGAAACAGAGAGTTGTAAAAAGAAAAAAAAAAAAAAAAAAAAACAAATAAACTGACTCGACGCATTTATCAGCGGCGAAACGACG